TACATTGCATCATTCATAATAACTATTCATAATAATAGCCCCATGTAATAATCAGGGCTAAGCTATGCAGTTCATACATATTTCTGTAGCTATTAATACTAGTGATATCCATTGATGATCCGTCTCGTAGGATTAGCATGCTGGTCATATACAGGTCATGTCTGTTTGCTATATGCCAAGTGAAGTTCAACCTGATCTGCATTCAGGAAACACATGCTAAAGCAAGGAAATCTTATTTAGTAAATATACAGTTAATTGGTACTGTAAATTTGAACACGCAAGAACTATAAAATAGAATCACTGAATGATTCCACAATAGAACATGTTACGCGCATATGTTCTACCTGTATGTTTAAACATTTTCTTCCATGCTATCGATAAAGAGCCATTGCTCGAAACGTCTAGCTATTTTTAATAGTTACTTAGGACTACGATTACCAAATACTGTAAAATGACTAATTTTCACTGGGTTTAAATTTTGCTGATTTACCATTTCAGGCATATTCAGTGTGTTTTAAATTCACGGTTTTGTCATTTAGATAATGTGTTCTATGCTAAATTTTACAAATTCACTGAGTTTTAATTTAGCGCATTTTCCAGTCAGCGAAGTAAGCTAAATTAAAACCCAGTGAATAATTAACCCCTTTACAGTATTATATTCTATATATCATACATATGAACATGCATTCAGATTTAAAATGACCATCCACTGGGCAGTTTATGTCATGACATGTTTTGACCCTTTATGTTCAAATTTCATATATTTCCTAAACTTACTCATGGGGGTTCATGTATAGTTATAACTTGTTTTGTCTTTCAGATTTTTATAACATCACCAATGATCAAGGTAAAGTTGGACGGTTCTGTTTATTTAAACCAGCTTATAAAATAGGAGAGGACATCATTGCTACGTTTGATTTCTCAGGTGCTACAATACCATGCCTGCAGGTGGGTGGAAGATTTCTTGTTCTTTCTCAGTTCTCATTTCCAGTCTCTTGGCACTGCATATCTGTGACTGACTCTGCCTCTGGCACCCATAGATGTCTGGTGAGCCACTTTCAGCAAGAGACTTGGGGGAACTTGGTCTTAGTGCAGTGTCTGTCAGTAATTCCGTGGTGTGAAGATAAAAAAAATATTATCAAGAATAACATGTACATGTATACACCAATGAAATCAATTACTGAAATTATATTCTGTTATTATGTTATTCTGTAATTAAAAAAATTTGTTATATTTAAAAATAGAACATTTTCCCCCAAAGTTACCCCATGCAATGAAAAAATATATGCTGGTTTTGTGAGATGACAACAAACAAAGGTTATTCATCTCAAAGTGTCACTGTGATAATTTCAACCAGTCTAGGGAGACTGGTAGTTTATCAGGATCCCCTAGGTGAGTGAATAATATGGCCATGACAACCCACTGAACACTGTGTTACCATGTTGTATAAATTCCTATACAGTTTAGCGTTGCTTTGCAAAGTGAAGAGAATATATCGGAGGAATGTAGGCGTAAACCGAGTCAGACATCTGCTGTTACGACTTACAGTAAACATGAAGAATTCTGTCTTCATACCACGAAATCACATATACAATTACCTATACCACTGCATTTAACACCAGGATTCATCACTGATATTGGTAAGTTTTCCTATGAACTTGACCTGAAATGTATGTGGCTTTTCGCTCATTATACATTATTCTACTTTAGCCTAGGTACAATGCTAGTGATATCATTACCAAGTCAATAAATAAAGTTTGTCATGTAGTCACTATTATACAATACTTAGACATGATGTGATTGATAATAACTTGTGTAAAGGTAAAAATTTTTGATTGTTTGCATCATTTTGACAGTGTGTCTCTGGTACCACCTCCATTTTGAGTTCATCACTGCCAGCCAGCCACTTCCTGACCATGTGATACCAGCTGACCAATCAGAGAGCTCCACATGGCAAGGACCAAAAAATGTAGAAGTAGAGACCATGGTGTGGGATCTACCAGTCAAAATCGTACCAACCAATCCGCTTCAAGCTACGAGCATCTCCATAGCAAGGGCCTCCAACTCGGTCAATGTTTGACCCGGATTCAGATTTTGTTCCCAGTTTGTGTACTCTTGAAAGCATTCCTACTATACCAGGGCAGGTGAACATAATGAGAAGTCCATGCCACAAATTAAATACAATGTAAATTCAGTTTCGATTTGCTATATTTGTTTTAGGTAAAAAGCATGTATGTAAAACTTGTTGTACTATGAGTTATTTTTAACATTCCTATACCTGCACGGATTTGAATGAGTCTGATATGTCCTGTGTATACCTTAGAATTACGCAGTTGATTTTCAGTGTCCTGAACTCCTGCCATACATAATTTGGATCATTGATAGTACACATCACAAATCTTATACATGAATTATAAATGAAAACTTGAAAATTAATTTCGGAAAGGATTCCTTTTGCACCCCTAACACTAACCCTACCCCTTGTAGTAGAGAAAGCATTTACAATTACAATTGAATTTGGGGGCTTGGGGGTGATGATTAAATTAGGGGGTAGGGTAAAAAAGGAACTCTTTCCGTAATTCTGATAATCAGAAAGTTTGTTTTCTTATTTGGATAGTGGAATATTTACTGTAATTCATTATAGGGGGCAATATTTTATTCAAAAATTATTATTTACGACTAGAGCATTCTGATAAAAAGGCATTATGTTATCTATCTGTGGAATGTGTTAGATCAGTGCACGTTCATTATTACTTGCATGTGTATAAGGGGTAAACCATTTAGAATGAAAACATTTGAGTTGACAGGTTTATATCTAAGCCAAATAGCATATAGCTGTTATAATAATATTTGTTGAAAGCAAACACCATAACTGATTTCACCCCTCTCACCATCCTGCAAATCATCGCAATGCTCTGGCTGTCGGTAGTCAATGTAATAAATTTATAAATTGTTTTTCCAAATTCACTACATTTTTGTAATTACATCTAGAGGTGACTTCGTAAGTTATATGGAAACAGTTATTATCTTGTGATTTCTGTTCTCAATTATCGCATTAAACTAACCACCGACAAATTGAAGAGAGCATGCCCCCAAGCGTCGTCCCTAAAATTTCAATAGTCTACAAAAAGCTTTTCTTAACAGTAAATAAAATTTGTATATGGATATGTAACTTGTTAAATACTTAATATATGATAACAATTTTCACTGAAAAAATCTGAGTTTGCTTGTTTTAACTATTAAGGGACAGTGGATAAATAAACAACTTGTCAGCTATTTGTGATGAATACTTTATTAGTCCCCGTTCGGACGAAGTCCGAAAACGGGGACTTATATTTCGGTCTGCGTCTGTGCGTCCGTCCGTCCGTCTGGAGTCATATCTCAGAATCCTGTGGACCGATTCTGTTCATTCTTTGCATGTGCCTAGTACCTTATGTGGAACATATGCACATGCAGTGGTTTAGCGATTCGATTCAAAATGGTCGACTGGCAGCCATCTTGTTTTTTTGAAAATGTTGTATTTTGGACATGCTTTGTCAGTTGTCATTCAAACTTGGTACATAGATTATACATGTTAGGATACATGTCCATGACGATTTATTTTGCAATTGGATCAAAGATGGTCGACTGGCAGGCATCTTGTTTTTGTTTTTTTATGCGATATCTTGGACGTGCTCTGTCAGTTTTCATTCAAATTTGGCACATACATGTACTTTATACATGTTAGGATGCATGTCCATGACAATTTGTTTCAAAATCTGGTCAAGGATGGCCGATTGACAGCCATCTGACTTTTTGGCCTTACTACTATATTTCCACAATTTATGTACCATTTTCATTCGTATTTGGCACATACATCATACATATCAGTGTGTTTCATAATCAGATCAAAGATGGCTGAATAACGGCTGTTTTTATTTTGGCCATATTACTATGACACGAAACACGGTTTTGATGTAAATAAACAATCTGTTGTATACGCCACTTGGAACTCAAGTTTCAAGGACACGCTCGCGACAACCCCTCCGCTTTAATATGACGAGCACAAAAAGAACTTAACGGGGACTGTGTCATTTTCAATGACTTGTTGAACATAGAAGAAGTTGGATTGAAGAAATCGTCACAAAATGAACAAATCTGAAGGTACACACCCAAGTTACCTTCACCCGAAACAGTCAGGTTAGGCCTTTTTCAAGAAATTAAAAAATACCATCCCCCCCCCCCCCCAAATGACACAAATATTCTCTAAAATTATTGAAGAATTGAAGTTATCTCCATGAAATGGACAAATCTGACAGAGATCCACCCACAAATGCGTATTATTTATACCATAGCCACTGGGAACCACCCAAATCACTGACAGTAATGTTTTTGCTTAATTATAAGTGCAAGTAAAAAAGAAATAAGACTTATTTCAATGATTTGGTGATGTGCTTATTATATATTACAGTATTCCTTATTAGTCCTTGTTCGAAACAGGGACTTATAAATCGGCCTCCATCCATCTGTGGGTCTTATTTCAGAATCATTTGGATTGAATCTGTTCATCTTTGCTTGTGCCTAGTACTTTATGTGGGACATATAAACATGCAGTGGTTTAGTGATTTGATCCAAGATGGTCGACTGGCAGCCATTTTGATTTTGGAAAATGTATCTTGGACATGCTTTGTCAGTTCAGTTTGTTTGTTCAAATTTGGTAAAAACATGTTAGGATACATGTCCATGACAATTTGTTCAACAATAAGATTAAAGATGGCCTACTGGTGGCCATTTTGCTTTTTGGCCATACTACTATGTCTTTTGTGGACCAAGTCACTACGTTCAATTACCCACCATCAGTCAAAATGACTATTTTGAACTGTAGGCATTAATCTGCAATTCAGCCCTCACGTCACACCACGTGACCGAGGCCATGAGACGTAGCCATATGGCCAAATATGTCACTTTGTTTCATTCTCTGCGCCGTGTGGATGAAACTTTGCGGTCCAGCCTGAAAGCCTGCTTTTTCCTGTTTGAGTTTAAGTTTGGGTTGCTGCCGCTAACACGGCAGCCGACAACGTTGCTGGTAGGATAAGTTATTATTTTTCACCCCTGTGTCGCCCCCCTTTGACCTTCGTTTGTTTTCTTTGTGTCAGCTTTCAACTGTAATTCGTTTCCCTCACCCATGTCGTTTTCGTATTTATATCTTACCAATGTATTTAAAAATGAATAGATGTAATGACAGCACCAGAGGCTCGCCACACTTGTCTACCAGTACCTCATGTGCTGAGACTTCTAGTAAGAGGCCCAACAGTGGAGGTACCGATATTTTTTGCCCAGCCACATCTATCTCGTTAATTGGGATGAAGGCGAGGCGCAGGCTAGTGGTACTGGGTCTGCACCGAGCCCTTGGGTACTGAATACCAACGGGGATGCTGGCAGCCAAGCTGCCGATTTCGGGGCTGAGCAGTTGAAACACATTGCACGTTGCCAGAGTCAGCCAGGAGGAAAGCGGAGGCAAGAGTAGCGGCGTGCCCCAGGGAGGGAGGACAAGGTGGTGTCTTCTCATCCTCCTTGGGTGGTCATCCACCCCGGCAGTGGGGCAAGCATGTTTGACACCTCTGCAACAGGGGGGGGGGGCATACATTTGGCGAGAGGCCAGGTCACAACTTAATGTCTACTTCAGGCCTCGTAGGAGCTCGCCCCATGGGAGGAGAGAGCACCCACACCTTACAGCCGCCGAACCCAGACCCACATATCCCTGTCACACACAGATTGTGCCGTGTATTCCGGTTTGGAGACAGCGGGTGACCGATGCCTGGACTTTCCAGGTGTTGACACACGGTTATGGGATACACCTGAAATCTCCATTGGGGGCACTGCCAGGGGACTCCCGTAAGGCTGAAGCAATCAGACAAGAAGTAGACAGTTTGCTGGAAAAGGGCGCCATACACAAAGTAGATCAGCCGCCATTAAGTCCAGGCTTCTACTCAAATGTATTCGTAGTACCAAATCTACAGGTGGCAGGCGTCCAGTTCTGGACTTAGGCAGACTGTACATACGTACTCCTCGATCGTTTACGCATGGAGACTCCATGCAGCGTTTTTTTCTCTCCATCCACCGTTTCGACTGGCTAGCCTCACTAGACTTAAGCGGGGACTACCTGCACATACCGATGCACTCAGCAAGTTGCCATCTCCTTTGAGTCTCCCAGCTGGGCCAAGTATTCGGATCTCGAGTGCCCCCCTTCGAGTTATGCACAGCTCCCTACGTTTCACCAGAATGTGTGGAACAGATGGTGCTGCTGCTTCACCAAACTTTGGTACACATCAATCCGTACCTAGACGTCTGGTTATTACATAACCCTAACAAGTGGTTATTAGCCAAGCAAGTAAGGGACAGGATTTAACACATAACACAGGATTTACCTCACCAGTTGGGCTCTTTAGTAAATCAGACAAAGTCCCATTCCTACCCAATGCAACAGTTGGTGTTCCTGGGCATGGAGTTTGACACAGAGGTAAGCTTAGTACATCTGCCTGGCGCAAGTAACCTAGCCGAATGCCTAGTCAGCGTTCCCTCGGTGTCCCTCCGAGAACTAATGCGGATCATTGGATCCAGACCTTGGTTCAAAGGGTAGTTCTCCAGGCTGCATTACGCAGCCACCCAGTACAACGCATGTTTGCTACAACACCGAGCACACCTACGGGAACTGGACAGGCCTGCCAACGTCCTGGCCAGGATGTATAAGGATTCCACCAATGCAGCTTACGACTCGAAAAGGCGAGTGTACACTGATTGATGCAGCGGAAGGGAGATGCCATCCCTCTGTTCGCCAGGTAGCAGACCTCTTCGTCCACCAGTTTGACGAAGTGGGTTTGTCCTACGCAGCGATAGCTGGCTACCGGTTGGCCTTGTCAATTGACAACGCTTTGGGAACAAGACTAGCCGATTGTCAGGAGACTGTTTATTTTCCATAATCAGAGGCCCAGACCCCGAACAAGGGAACCACCCAACTGGTATTTGTTAGTAGTGTTGTCAGCAGTGTTGTCAGCTCTAAACAGACCGCCCTTTGAGCCTCTCTAATCTGCACCACTCAATTTTTTGACTATGAAAACAGACTTCCTACTGACCCTACTAGGGTAGGCGTCAGTCAGAACGGGGGCATTCTCCTTCTCAGGCGGATGTACTACCTTTATGGACAATCAAGTTGTGCTAAAGACAAGAATCTGGTTTCTCGCCAAGAACCAAATCCCAGGACACAATCCCCCGCCAATCGTCATTCCCTGGCTGTCAAACATTGTCGGCCCGGAGGATCGGAAAGAATTGCTTCTCGCCCGGTTCGAGCACTGAGTTGCTATGAAAACCATACTAAGGATTCGAGACGGGGTGTCAAGCAAATGTTTTTGTGTTACGACCAAGGCAAGCAAGACCATCACCAGGTGGATTACTGCGACTGCGTTAAAAGTCTATAGAGATACCAAGTCCGAGCACATGATGTCCGTGCGATTGCTATCTCACTAGCACTGGCGTCAGGTGCCCCCTCGAACATTTACTGAGGGCAGGCTTCTGGAGAACGCAGAGCATCTTTATCAACTACTTCTCTTCAGGATGGGTTTCGTTGTAGCAGGTCAGACTTTGGTTGCTGACCCAGCCCGAACGACCACAGGGATCCCTGCGCATAGGCGATAAGTCAGTTTTGCCCTCATGCAGAACTGTTTCGGCCTTTATTTCAAGCGAGTTACCCCAGAATTGGCTACGCCTCGTGGCCTTGGTCATGTGGTTCGTGACGTGAGGGAAAATCTTGAGGTCATGGGGCTTCCCCTGACCTAGATTTATTAGCTGAATCGCAGATTAATGCCTACAGTTCAAAATAGTCATTTTGACTGACCGGAGTCTATGGTGGGTATGAACTATGTGAATAGGCGGGTTCCGAGAACCCTCTGCCTAATTTTCATTCATATTTGTCACATACATCAAATGTGTTTCATAATCAGAAAAAAAAATACCTAACTCCATGATAACTATCTTTTTTTGTGAAAATGTGGTTTCTTGAACATGCTTCATCTGTTTTCATTAACATTTGGTACAAACATTACACGTGTTGATATGCATGTCCATGATGATTCATTTTGTGGTTGGATCAAAATGGCCAACTGGCAGCCATCTTGTTTTTTGAGAATGCATTATTTATCATTTATTTTTGTCACA